ACAACTCGGTCGCCTACCGCAAGAGTGGTACGATCGACTACTTCGCCCAAGAAGCGGCACAAACACTCCAACAACTCGGTCACCTACCCCAAGAGTGGTACAATCGACTACTTCACCCAAGAAGCGGCACAAGCACTCCAACAGCTCGGTCACCTACCCCAAGAGTGGTACGATCGACTACTTCGCCTAAGAAGCGGCACAAGCACTCCAATAGCTCGGTCGCCTACCCCAAGAGTGGTACGATCGATCGACTACCCAAGAAAGCGCACAAGCACTCCAACAACTCGGTCGCCTACCCCAAGAGTGGTACGTTCGACTACTTCGCCCAAGAAGCGGCACAAGCACTCCAACAGCTCGGTCACTAATAATAATCTTTGTTTAGTTCTAGCCTAGAAAAAATCTGCAAGATCTTATTATTCTGGCTTTGCTAACTCAGAGGTATCATCATGATATTTCCCATCGAAGTGAACAATGTCGCGCATGATCAACCGAAACATGCCCTCAGATATGTTTCTGATGTTTGTATCTTCGAGATGATTTTTTGGATGGCAATGATGTACCCGCAAAGAAAGTTTATAGTCATCATATATTTACAGGAGCAAACAAGTTGTTGAGCTCTATTTACACTCCCTACATACCACGGCTCCCTCCCGCCCTTTCTCTTCTCTGCCCCATCCTGCTGGTGGTGAACTAAAGCGTCCCTCTCTTATATCCACTTTGCTCCATCATCGACATCCTCGTTGGCCTATTACATCTGCAGTGCACGTTTGACGCTGTTATGAAGCCGTGGTTAGTGTACTTGATCGCATCTAAGTTTCAATCCATTCGCACCATGTTTCTTGGTTCTAGAAAACCCTAACCTTAGCTGCAATACTATTCTTGGATCTGTAGATGAAAATTACTTTTCTTCTTTTGGAGTTGGTGGACTTCTATCTTTGTCAATTCAACTTGTGATTCTTATTCTATGCATTGATTCACCAAATCAGTGCTTTGGACAAGCTGCTTTTGCACATGCTGATGATAAGTTAGATGATACTGTACCAATGAATGTGTACAAGGATGTAGAGGTGAATGCTCTAGATGACATGGAACTAATGGTGGTCGATCAGGATGTTATGCAAGATCAGCAGGATCTCATGGACATTTACCTGGATCAGATGGAGATTGATTAGTTTTTTTTTTGTGAATTATGGAGATTGATTAGTTAATTAGTTATGCAAGTAATTTGGTACAAATCACATCCTTTTCTCTAGCGCTTTCTCTGGTGCCCCTCTCTGAACATTTCTGTTGACTGCTGACCCTCTCTATTTCCACTCTAGAAACCCACCGAAGATGCTCTTTCTTTCGGTGCCTTGCAACGGACGTTTCCGGTGCCCTCTAAAACTATCTGTACATCTTCAGTTCAGCAGCCTAACTTCTGGTGCTCACTTGTGCTAACCAACAGACATTTTAGTTGTTTGCTCCTGTACAGTACTGACTCTAAAGCCTTTTCTCCAATGCTCTGTTGCAGGAAACTACCAGAGAATTCCGGTGACTGCAGAAACAACAACGTCCACTTCTTTTCTTCTTGTCTCTGTGTTCGGACTTCTTCTAAATTGTGTCTTTACATTTATCATGTCTCGTGGTCTTCAACATAGCTCCTAATGTCTTGCTTGAGGTGTTGATCACTCTGATCTTGCATCCAATGAACTAAACCTTGTGTACTAGCAAACAATTTTAGTCCAATGATCATGTTGTCCATCAAACACCAAAATCATACAGTGGCCCATGCAAGGTGCCATTTTCCTTACAAGCATCAACATACAGTAGGTGTCCATTCGTGGGCTATTAGCGTGAGGTGGTGCTCGTGACCAAGGATAGAATCTTGTGAGATGCGAATGTAGTCACTGCCACTGCAACCAAGCACTTCCGTACATGGCTTATCACTACCATGCTGGTCGCCAAAGACTCCTACCAACCCATCTTCATCGAGCATCGTGAGGAGCACCAACCCAGCAGTGTCGCCACCACACTTTTGCGCAGCCACCATGCAATGCGCGTGGCGCGCCCACCTCCGCATGCACGCCGACATGGTCCACCCCGTCCAGGGGTTGGTTATGGATTCCATGTCAATGAATATTGGCTAAAAATGAAATTATTGCAATGATTGGCTACGAATGGACATTGCAAAGTATAATCATATGGCATTAAAACGTTAGTGATGCTTATCACCAACGGTCCGTAATACGAACTATTGGTGATGAGAGTATCACCGCTGATTCGTAATAACGTCGTGGTTGATAACTATCACCGCCGCTTCGTCTTACCAACCGGCGGTGATATTCCGTCATCATAGCTGGTTTGCACCACCAACCGACGGTGATGATGTGCTCCTCATCACTGCCACCTCGCCATATGAACCGGCAACGAAGACGTTTTTCTCCGTCAGCTTGTTGTAAGATACGGCGGTGATAACCATGCTATGACACAATAAAATTCATAACTTTTTCAAATAAAGTTGGATGAAAACAAACTTTATATGAAAGTTATAGATCTCGACGAGATCTACAACTTTGTAGTTGATGACTTTTTTATTTGAAACCATTTGTGGTCCCAAAATTCTTTTTGAAGCCCTCAAATTTGGAAATTCAATTCTTTTCGAATTATACAAATGACCTTAGTTGGAAAAATGAACAAAACCAAAATTATAGATCTTGATGAGAACTATAACTTTGTAGTTGATACATATTTTATTAGAAATCATTTATAGTCTCAAATTTGTATATGAATATTTAAAATTTTTAAAAACCAAAATTTTCAAACAACTTTGAATGGAAAATTGACCAAAAGCAAAGTTGTAGATCTTGATGAGAAAAACAACTTTGTAGTTGATGAGTTTTTCATTTGAAATCATTTGAGGTCCCAAAAGTCTGGCTGAAGTTTTGACATTTTGAAATTCTTTAAATTTGTCAAACGACCTCGGGTGGCAAAACAACCAAAATCAAAGTTGTAGATCTTGATTAGAACAACAAATTTATAGCTTATGACTTTTTCATTTGAAGTCATTTAGGATCCGAAATATTCATTTTAAATTATGAAAAGTGAATAATAGGGGAATAGATATGATATATAGACACAAGTGACTTAGGGATGCAGTAGTTAGAGGAGAGTGGTTAGAGGAGCAAAGGACAAAAGTCTGAGGTTCGAATCCCACCACCATCGCGTATCATGAAAAATAGCGTGGAGCTGGTGGGAGGGGCTTCCCACGATTAAAACTTTTTTTTTTTGCTATTTTTTGACCCATTTTTGGGATTTTTGAAAAATCAAATCACCGCCAGCTGGTAATACGAACCGCCTGTGATAAGCTAGTATCACCGCCAGTTGCAAACCGTCTGTGATGAGAATATCATCACCACCGACAGCTTATTGCAGAGACCGAAAAGCGCTAGTGATAGGCTTTACGAACCACTTGTGATTGGTCTGAATGTAGTAGTGATAGACTAAATTTTACTAGTGATCCTCGAACTTATCCTGAGTTCTCATCTAGATCCTTGTACTTTCAAATTTGCATATCCAACTCCCTAAGGCCCTTTTTAGCGGAGTTCCCAGAGTTGATTCTCTGATAAATCAAGCCAGAGCTTTGCCAAATAGTGTTTTCAGAGAGAAGTAATTCTCTACTAATCCTGGTTCTACGAAGTCATTTTTCATTGTGATTTTGAGAGTTTATGCTAAAGAATAATAAAGAATCTCTTTCAGTCATAGAATGACTTCCCTTAGAGGATCACCTCCCATGTAGAATCAGAATCAGATGGAGCTCTACCAAATTGGCCCTAAACTTGTCCTGAGTTCTCATCCCGGTCCTGGTATATGTAAATTGCACGCACAGGTCTCTAAAGTTATATTATTGTACCATTATCCATCCACCACCGCACCACCGTCCTCACACCCAGCACACCCTAATGTCCACCTTACCCACATAGCCACATAGCGTTGCACCATGCTCTCCATACTACCTCACGCCTGCCTATGTTGCATGATCGGTGCAATGTCGAACCCATGTTGCCATGCTAGGCCATGCCATGCCCGCCTGCACCGCTGTGTCGCACGCTACATTCACCCTACCTTGCAATGACAACCCTGCCATTGCTGAGAGAGGTGAGGAGGTAAGGAAGGCTAGGAGAGTGGGGAACTGAGTGCGAGGAAATGTCAAGAATGAGCATGAGCTCCTATGCAATGAGGGAGATGAAGGTGTGATGTGGTGGCATTAGTGGTGTTGAATGCAACTGCCACGAGGTGAGGGGCGATACCGCAATGAGGTGGAGTAGGAGCGAGTCAAGGAGAACCGAGGACCAATATGGTGAAGGCTCGGCTAGAACGTGGCAAGCATGACAAGAGCGGCAAGGCAATATAGCAGGTCCTAGGAAGCTAGGTTTGCACATCCCTCTTGAGGTCCTGACACACGTGCTATCTTCCGTGCGCTAACCACTGTGGATGGACGATCGTGGTGTGGCCACATGAGTGTGGTGGGCACATGCAACGCAGCCTGGGGAAGTGGATGGGCCGGGATGGTACATTAATATGGGTTTAGGAAGTTGAGTGTGTATTTTAAAAGTACCAGGACCGAGATGAGAAATTGGGACAAGTTTGGAGCTGAATGCGAAATTTGAAAGTACTGGGGGCCTGGATTAGAACTCAACAAGTTGAGCTAAATGTGTAATTTGAAAGTATAGGGGCCTAGATGAGAACTCGGGACAAGTTTGAGGACCACCGTTGAAATTTACTCTATAATCGTAGTGGACATGAATATTGGAACTTAAATAATGAAGTTACCTGTTCTTACATCATTCGTTAGGTTACTAAATTTGCATTGCTCAAATGTCCTACTTATCTTTATTACAGTCTGTATGTATATTTCTGATGATCGGTTGAATCTGAATATTTAAACAAAAGGAAAATGATAAAAGAGTTTACCGACATACTTGAACTGTTGAGAATGTATATGTGGACATTGTTGCTTGCGTCTACACAGGTGTGGTGAACACCTCCTTCCCCAACATCACAAACATGACGGCTGGAGTGCTACAACCCATTGCAATCACGAAATATGCAAGCCATGCCGACTTGTCCACAACGGTGAGATATACGGCTGTGGTCAATGACACGACCATAGCTAGGCAAGCAATGACCGTGAGCCAGTGGCTCCACGCCACCTGGCTGCTCCTAAAGTCTTGCACCTCCCTTCTTGCCCAAATGAAGGCGAAGACGACGATGATTGAGCTTAACATTGCCAGGGTGTTGGCTATGACGAACAATTTGAATGCTGCGTGGTGGCCTAAAACAGCCGTGCCGTTCTGCTGGTCGTAACCTCCGGGCATGGTGAATGTGGAAGAAAAGGTAACAGTGGCAATTAGAGTCGCTACGAGAGTGTACGTCCCCATCCTAACCTCGATGTATCGGCTAAACTCACTCCACCAATCCGGTGTTCTGATTGGTGGTATCTGTTTGTTTTTGCACTTATAATACTCTTGCTTCTTGAGTTCCTTCCACAAGTGTATCTGGAATTAATAAATTACAAAGAAAAGTGTCAGCTAGCCCACAGTAAAAAACTGAACTTATTTGGGCATGTATCTTACCATTGAGCTATGTAATATTTGTTGTCCCTCAATCAGGCTTCGCGCGGTCTGGCCATCCCGGTCGACAAGGCATGGATCCACCCTCCAGTCCCTGAGCAGTAGGCGAGACGATTGCGGCCGACCGAGCTTGACAGCTAGGTGCAGCGGTGTGTTGCCCTCTTGGTCAGCCCGGTTCACAATCCCCTTGGAGTGCACATGCTTCAGCAGGCACTTGAGAGAATCCACCATGTCGCTCACGACGGCGATGTGGAAAGCATTCCTGTTTAAGCCATCCGCTAGCATCTCCATCTCGGCAGTGTCAGGGCACTTGCTCAGAATCCCCATGATGGCCTGTGTTGAGCCATAACGGACGGCGACATGCAACGGGGGATGACCATCTTTGTTCCTCCTATACGCGAGTTCAATGCGCTTGTTGAGCAGTATCTTCACCATGCCACCCCTGTTCCTCTCTGCCGCGTAATGCAGGGCATTATTTGCTGACAAGTCGGTTCGGTCTGTTAGCTCCGGCCTCCTTTTTAGTAATATCTTCATGATCCCTGGTAAAATAAAGAAAAATCAACAACATATGTAATGATGTCTGTCCATGCAATATCTGCACGATACCTATCCAATGTAATAAATAACTAATTCATGTAAGGTTAAACATCTCATATCATTCAGTTAGTTGGTTTATATAGTTTTTGCCAAACGAACCGACAGACTGATGAACAAAAGATCAGGGTCTAATCAAAGTCTAAGTTGACCAACTGTGCTTTAGACAATGTCTATTTCAGACTGTCTGCTTTAAGACAAGGTAATTACCTTAATTTCTTACCAAGGATTTGAAATTAAATTTGAAAAGGAAAACCAGTTACAGTTAGTTCATATAAAAGAAAATAATGGAATCAAAGGCAAGTTGGGACAGTTAATAATGGTAGCGTCTTACTGATATGATCGCCAAGAACTGCTTGGTGAAGAGCTGTGCCACTAAAAGTTTCATAGGGGTTTAGCTGATTTTCCACGCGTGGTATTTCAACGATCTTGACAACAACATCAAGGAGGCCTTCCCTTGCAGCAATGTGCAACGGTGACTCCATCCTCTCATTCAACAAATAGATACAATTTGGCTCAGCTTCGATCAGCATTAGTGCAACTGCAGTCCTGTGATTCTGCACCGCCTCGTGCAATGCTGTGTTTCCTGAATCATTCTTCATCGAAACAGGACTCTGCCAAGCAAGAAGCCATCTAAGTCAACAATATCTTTTTACTGTCTCTAATATTTTTTCAATATGATGCTTAAGGAGTAAAAGACAAAAGCATTTCTTTTCCACTACTACGATGTTTTAGGAATACCAAATTCTTTCTTATACAAGAAACTTGCTCAAGAGGATAAAGGAATGTCCCAAGGGTGCTTGATGTGCTCAGTTTCATTTGGCAATAGTTTCACTTCACGTTCCATGATCCTAAGAACAGTTGTGGCAATTCTTCTTATATCATGTATGTATACGACTGAAAAGATCACCAAGGGCATCTTTAACAATAAGTTTTTTTTACTGAAGAAGCACTTTATTAACTTAAGATAATTACACCGAGTTGATACAATCATATTGAGATCACTTCTGTTCGGACATCTGCATTAAGGCACACAGACATAATTCATAGAAGAAGACCCCCCCCCCCCCCCCCCCCCCCCCCTCCAAAAGATCAGTGACACCTCGAGCTGAGTTAGTATCTTCGACTTCTGCTCTACATGTTTTTTAAATCCATCTTTTCAATAATAAAAAAATGGTTTTTGAAGACGCCATCCAATACATTCTATAGGCAGTTTATGTTGCAAACAATATATGTATATTGTAGAGGTTAGCTCAGTTTGCTGGAACCTCCTGTGGTGAAGCATTTCTATAGGCAGTTCCTGAGCACCACCAATAGTACGTAATTTCACAATATCCATTGTTTGTCACTTAATAAACTGCTGATAGAAATAATGTTCTCTTCAGGCGGTTTCTTAAGTGATCAACTTGCAGCTTATGTGTCTATATAGACCCTTGAACAATGCTCTGGTAGCTCAATGATAATGGCGGCCTCAAAATTGTAGAAACCCAAGGAATGGGACGTTTTGAAATTGAAATTCTTGGAGGAATAGGATCTTTAAGGCAACAGCATGAAATTGCTCTCTCTTTTTTATATCCCCCTCTCTTATTTTACATCTAGATCTAGAGAGAGAGCATATTGGTGGAGAGGTGTGCAAAGAGTGGGGAAGAGAGGGGAGAGAACCCTTCTCATTTTGAACTTGAAATTCTTGTAGGAATAGGCTCTTTAAGGTAAGAGCATCAAATTGCTCTCATTTTTAGCTCTCCCCATCTCCTTTAAGATCTCTCCCTCTCTCTCTCTCTCTTATTTTAATCTAGGAGGAGAGAGAGAGAGAGAGAGAGAGCATAGTGGAAGATATAGGTAAAGAGGGTGGTGTAGAAAGAGAGGGGAAGAGAGGCCTTCTACCTCTCTTTCCTATCCCTCTATAACCACTAGATGTATACGGACTAGGGAGAGATCGCTAGATTTATCTATCACTTTATCTCTATGTCCCTCTCATAGTTTAAAAATAATGTCTATTATGATCGTCTTTGATTAATTTTTTGTTTCTTTTGTTAAAGTTATTTCTAATTATTTCACCTTTGTATTTAAGTTTTTGGTTAAATAAAGTTCAAGATGTAAAGGGCATGGATGTACAATGCACCAAGACATGAAGGTATATTCTTCAACAAGCTCAATACTTTTATCGAGCAGCCCAGAGAAACGCTCGGACTAAGAAGGAAAAGGAAATACTTTATGCATGCAAAAGAACAATGTAGCAGAGGGAGATCCCAAGAATAACCAAATCACACTTCATTACGAGAGGTATTATTGATGATTACACAACTTAGTCCCAACATAGTGAGCAACATACACCTCAACGAAAAGATGGCATTCCTGCTGATCAAGTTGATGAGAATTGTAACACCCTAAAACTTGCTTCTTTTGAAATAGGCTTATAAAATGATTTAATTATATATTTTGTGCTCATAAACACATAGAGAAATAATAATTTTTCATTAAGTTAAAATTTATCATAAAGTAGAAACATGTTTGAGCATACATGCAGTTGCATGATTGATTGGAATGAGTGATTTTGACCAAAGCTAAAAATGATTCAAAATGATTTTGAAAAGGGTTTTGAAACAAAAGAAAAAGAAAACGAAAAGAAAAACCCTCTTCTTCCTGTTTTGGCCCAAAGGCCCGCTCTCTCCTCTCCCGCAGCTCTCAATCTCTTTCGGCCTGCTCCCATCTCCCTCTCCATGAGCCCAGTAGCGCCACCCAGGGCCGCACTAGTAGGCCGCCCACCAGTAAGCCCCACGCGTGTAGCCTCTCCCTCTCTCTGTTTGATGACGAACGGGATCGCCCCTGAGTCGCCGACACCACAGCCCTCCGGTCGGTGTCATCCCCTTCCTTGCGCCCGTGCTCGAACCGGACTCGACCGGGGTGGGTTTCCACGCGTCGTGCCTCGATTTCCGGATTTTGGCGTAATCCCTCGCCTAGCGCCCCTTTGAGAAGCCGGAGACCTTCGCCGCACCCCGCTTCACATCTTCGGCTGCCGCTTGCCCTAGCTCCGCCTCGCCGCCACGCTTGAATCTCGCCGATGAGCGAGCAAAAGCCACCGCCGCCTTCGACGCTTCGTTCCTGCCTTGCCGTTGTTCGTGACCCTTTCCGAGATCCGAGATGAGATGAAGAACCCCCTCGCCTTTCCATCCTTCTCTCTTTGTCTCTGTTGTTCACACGCCACTGCCAACCTTCGCAGGAAAAACCAACCGCCCGTTGAGCTCGCGCCCGTCTCCCTTCGGTCCCCGTCGTCAAGAAGTCCCGTGGTGAGCTCACCCTTCACTCCTATTTCTCCCGTGCTTTTAGTTTTGAAAACCGAGATCCCTAGCTCCCGTTCGTGCTTCTCCAGTAAGCTCCATCGCTGCAATGGCGGGTCACCGCGTCGCCCTTCCTGTTCGGCCAGATACCCTTTCGGTTCACCGTGAACTCGAGGACTCACACCATGGTTCCACATAAGCCGGTCCACCACAGACCAGCCAACCCTTAGCCGCCACGTGGTCGCCGACCACCGCCAGCGCTTTTGCAAAACGGCCCCTGTAGTTTCGCGTAATCGAACCCGTCGTCCCCCGCCATTGTTGAAAGTCTGTTGTTATTTATTTTAATTCGATAATGTTTCCAATATTCACAGAACTGCCATTAGACACAGTTTAGCTCATATCTTCACCATTTCAGCTCTAATTAATGTGCTTTTTGCACTGTGTGTTCGTAATAACGTGTACAACATCTTTGAAACCTTTTTCACTTGTTGTTTCATATGTTTGGTGTACTTGTTCTAATTTAGTTTTATTGTTTACTTTGTGTATGATTGCATGGATGTTTGTATGGTTCTTTATGCTCATGTCCAGATAAGTGAGGTTTCGTTGGTGATCAAGAAGCATTCCATTGGAGGTTCGGATTTGGAAGAATGATCGAGTTTAAAGGCAAGTATAGCATGGGATCATCCTTGTTTCCCATTAAACTTAATAATACACTTAATTCATATGCATGTGTCTACCTTGTCACTTTAAGGATATCCTAGCTTTTGTGCCCTGTGCCTTGTTACCTATGGATTATGCATTGGGTAGTATATTGCTAGCGCTTTCAATTAAATAACCATGATCTTGTAACTTGACTAATTAATGGTATATGCAATAAACACTAAAAGATGATTTTTAGCAACATGGTAAAAGGGGGCTGGAGTGTTTGGCTACTTTTCCAAATGCTTTAGTTTCTGTTCATAATGACTTATCTGTAAGTGATCACCCCGGGACATACAGTACAACCATGAGAGCTATGGCTTCGGCTTTGGCTTTAGCTAAGTAAATTGAGCTTTTCTAGCTCGTTAGTGGTTACCAAAAAGCACAAGGAAGACCGTTGCAGAACGGCTTCTTGTCCCTCAGGGTGTGTATAGCCTGCGTGAAATATGTCACTCTGTTAGAGGGGCTCCATTCGCCTAGCTGCTGAAATCTAGCGGCTAATAACTTGTTAGAGGGACTTTCAAAAGGCTTCACAGTGAACCCTGCCAACCTTCTTTGGATAGCAGGTCAAGAGGTTGATCTTCTCGGGCAAAAAGGCAAATCACGACTCATGAATAAAGATGTACAACCTCTGCATAATGTCTTAAAACTGTTATAACAGTCGTGTTCACGGCCACGAGCGGTTTTGGGACCCTTATGGAATAGAAGAACACCTATAATTAATTTGTTTTTGCTATACATTATTCGTGGTACATGATCATGTGCTTATTTGGGGTTTATGTTGAACTTGTTGCTACTCTATTACTAAAAACTATGACTTACTAAAAGCTGACCGCAGTAAACCCATGTCAAACCTTTTGAGCTTTATAACCCCATGTTATATATGCTGAGTACGATATGTACTTACACTTGCTTTATTTTTAATACTTTGAAAAAATCCCGGATGGGTACCAGATTGCTAGAGGTTGGAGGAGTTAGGCTTGTGATCAACCAGTAAGTTGTCCCTATGGTGTTGGAGTTTTCGCCTGAAGAACGGAGTTATCTTTTCACTTTTTGCTATTTATGGTTATATACTCTCTGTACTAATACATTATGTAAAGCATTGTCCTTTGGTATTTTCCATTATTTGTAGCCATGTGTTTGATTGACTTCTTGGGCTCACATATGGTGTATATCTGGCTTTGTTCTTAAAATCAGGTGCTATAGAGTTGAAGGTGACACTGATGCTATGGTAGATCATCATTTGATGGATGATGTTCACGTCATTGGTGTAGAGGAAATGTTTTGACATGTAGAATGACATGTTTGGATTGAGATGATAGGTTTAGATAATGTCAAGGCTTTGCGAAAGGCGTCAAGGCATTTATTGCATGAGGAATCAAAGGGCTATGACAAGGAGTTTATGGTATTGCATATTGTGCTAATGCTTCTAATATTGAAGGCTCGCAATGGATGGTCGAACAAGACTTTCTCAAATCAGTTTGGGGCTCTAGAAAAAAATACTTGGCCTACCCATGTTGCCTACCAACACTTGTCTCACGAAGAAGCTTATCCTCTATATCATCTACCTTAAAGATTACAATGACTTGAATTGATACCCAGTGCGCAAGGAAAGTCATTATAAG